AAGTAAAATGTTAGAATTATTTGATTATAAAATTTGAATATATGATTTTGCAACTCAAAAAGCTAAAAAAGTGATATAAAAATAGATCAATAATAATACTTTAAGCCCTAAAACCTCTTCACATGGCCCTGATAATTCGAGGCCTAATATGTTTTCATTTAGCTATATATGTATGTCAAGTAATTGACCTGCTTTAATTTATATATTAGATTAATTTTAGAGTTACTTTTTGTTTTAAAATTCAAGAAACCAATATGATAATTTTAAAAAATATAAAAGACTAAATTTATAAAAATTAAATTTAAAAGATCAAATTGATATATGAAACAAACTTAAGGGAGTAAAAATTTCATTATATATCCCTTCTTTTTTAAAAAATTCAATTCTAATTTAACTTAAGCAAACCAAATAATCATTATTTTTTAATTATCACTTAAAATATAATTTAATTTTGAAATGTGAAAAAATTGTAAGACCTAAATTATTTAAATTTCATTAGCATAAAACAACACATGGACAATGGACCAAATCTGAGTAGTCCCTTTGTGATGAAGTCAACAACATCATCTCCTCATTGCCACATTCCAATTCCAATGTCATATCATTCTCGCACCAATCCACCTCCTTCTTTAAAAAAATTCAAATGATAATATTAATAATAAAAAATCTCATAAATAAAAGAAAATTATAAAATGACAAAAAAGAAAATAAAAAAAGTTCAGCAACGCACTGAGTATTCTGCTTATACAAAAGAAAAAAAAAGAATAATAAAATATTAATTAGCTCATTCTTGAAACAACAGACTGCTTTTAATACAAGCTCCTTTTTTTAAATTATTTTTAAATATGAATATAGAAATTGATTTAAATATTTATGTTGTTTTGGTAAACATATTTGCCAAGCCAAATACACAGAGATATATCTGTGTGTGTGTGTGTAATATATTTTGTGTGTGTGTGTGGGGTGAGCAACAACAATTATCTATCTTTCTATTGTCTATAGGTTATATCTTACAACTACATTCCGATTATTTTCCCTCTATCCCTTTACGAGTGTAACATACCAAATTTTTTTTTTAAATAATTTAACTCAACCATAGTTGGGTTACAGCCACCCAACACATTTTTATATCAATAATTTCAATATAAAATATTTTATAATTGGCTTCAACTCACACACTATAACATTTCAGATAAATTTTTACCTCCCACATGCCATTAGGCTAAATCACATTTGTCCATCCTTATACTCCCAACAAGTAAATTAAATCACATTTGTCCATCCTTATACTCCCAACAAGTAAAATAAGCAATTTAATAAATTTTCAACACAAGCCAGTTATTTGGCCTTATAATCATGCCATTTTAACCAATCCAAAGTAAACCAAATATTAAAATTACAGTCATCCAAATTGTACCAAAAATAGAAATAGTTTGAAAGGCATGATTACATTTATATATTCATATAATTGACAATAAATAAAAAAAAGTCCTAATATTGGCAATATAACACATTATAAATTATAAATTAAAAACCCAAAAGAGACAGTGGATCTATACCACTAAGCCTCTGGGACTCCTCCACGTGTCACTCGTGGCTCTTCTCCTGAAAATTGTTAACCACATAATGAGACTCAAAAGTCCCAGTAACCAAAGCCAATTTATGATAGTGTATACAAACAGTTAAGTGTGTGCTTACTAAGTGAGAATTAAAAATAATATAATTCCAACAAATATAAGAAATATTACAATACACACAAATAACCATCCTTATATCCCTCCATTAACCTCGAGCCATAGCCCTCACTCGGTACTAAATTACCCGGCCAAAGGTAGATTAGCCCGAGCCCTTACAAGCCACCTATTGAGCTCCAATAGGGGCGTACCACGTGGCACATAAATATAACAACAATAGCAAGTCTCCCAACACATCCCACAATAATCAAACAAATTCATAATAATATTGCACAATATACAATATAAAAAAATTCATAATTTTCTCAATAATCACCCAATTAACATGAAGTAACACTAATCATAAATTAAAAGCATGGTTACCTCGTGGCTTTTTCAATAAATTATTTCTTAAAATTTCTCTCTCACCACAATCTTCACCAGTAATACAACTTACAAATAACATATTATTTATAAATATTAGTTTCAATTTTTGAAACTAATAAAATAATTCTAATAATAGAATTAAAAATATAACATAATTTCTAATCTCAATCTTAATACAAATCTAGAGTCAATACTATTAAGTAAAATTTTTAACTCCTCTTTTAATTATCAATAAACATTAATAATCTAAAAATCAACTTCTAAACTAATTTTTATTATCAAAATTTTCTTTTTATTTCATAAATTCGTACCTAAAATATCCAAAAATTAAAAATTGAGTCTCTAGCTTAGAATCATAATCCTATAACTATAATAATTCATTTCTCATCCCAAATAATCATCTAAACCTCAATAAATCAACATATATTTTTAGATCTAGTTTAGAATTTGATCCATAAGCCACAGATTCAAAGATCATCAATAAATTTATACTCTAGAACATTTATTATACTATTGACAACCTCAAAAATCATATTTATTCAACATAAATTCATCCCTCTTCCAGATCTTAAATTTTCTACCACTACAAACTCAGAAACCAAAGAAGAAGGATAACTAAGAAAAAATTTTAGAACACTTACTTAGTCTTGAAAAGCTTAAAATCACACCCTAAATATTTTATTAAAAACTCTTACCTTAAAAATTTAGATATTTTGCACCGGCGACTTGCTTCTCTCCGCCTCAGCTCGCACGCAGGAAAAGAATTGAAGAAATGAAAGGAAACAGGTGAGTTTTATAAAAATTTAGTGGGTCTCACATTTTTTTATTATTTCCTCTCTCTTCTTCTTCTTTCTTTTTTTTATTATTATTTTATTTTACTATTGAGGCGGCCGAAAGCATTCACGTTTTCTTCCTTCTTTTTTTTTTGCATACCTTTTCCCTTTTTTTTATTATAATAATAATTTAATAATATTTTTTTATTATTTTTTTAATTAATTTTTTTAATAATTTTTTTTTAAATTTTTTTTTAAATTTCTATTAACCCAAATTAACTATTAAAATTTAAATTGGGATGTTACAACGAGTACGCCACATGCAGTTAATTTTGTGCAGCATAAGAAAATAGGAGAATTATGTTGAAATTTCATACAAAAAAATTAATTATTATAAGGTTTATTAATAATTGAACCAAGGCCAATGACTATAAATCTTGTAGTAATTAATTTTTTTATGTGAAACCTGTATCTAATTTTTCCTAAAAAAAAATTTGGGACAAGGAGGGATGAAAAATTATCATTTTTATTTTTAAGTCAATAATGTAATATTTTCTAATTCTGCGCTTTATTTCTTTAAAAATATAGTACAAGATCATGAAAATTTTAATCTCTCAAGTTTTTCTCAATTATTAATTTAGTACTTTAAGTTTAATTTTTATTAATTTAATCTTTATGCTTGTTTAAATTATTATGTGAGTCTTTTATATTTTAAAATACAAATTAATTTTCAAAATAATGTAATGTATAAAATATATTGATGATTTCACACACACACATATGTATAAATGAGAATAAAGTAACCCTCAAATTAATTTAAGTTTTATCAATATAATCTCTTATACAGTGTTTTATTCTTGTTCTTTAAAATTTCAAATTTTATTTTTCTCCCTAAATAATTATTCTTCTTTTTATTAATTTATATGGCTGTCATCAATATTCTATTATACATGTCAACAAATTTTAACAATATAATCTCTTTTTAAATAATAAAGATCAAATCAATATTCTAATTAAGTTTAATAGATTAAATTAATAAAAATTAAATTTGAGCAACCAAATCAATAATAATTGAAACAAATGAGGAATGAACAATCCCTTGGTGGAAGTCCGATAATTAAGCAGAGTAGGAATGAGAAGAACACATGTTGAGCCCAGACAAGGTTTGTTGTAAGAATGTAGTTTCCTCATGCAAAAGAATGAAACTTTATCCTTTCCATTATTGTTGTTGTTGTTGTTATTTTCTCCGCGCATTCTGTGACTTTTTCTAAATATTCAAATATTTACATTTATACCCATTATTGTGAAGCGAAATTGACGCCTTAGAATCAAATGAAAATAATTTTTTATACAATTATCATGACATCTAATCTATCTATAGTACTGTTATGTCAATCAAATCTGAGGATCCACTCTAAATTAATTGAGATTAAAATAGCTCTCTTAACATAATTTCTATCTCAAATGCTTACACTATTAGAACGAACCATTCACCTTTATAAAAAAAAAAAAAAAACAAAAGAACGAACCATTCACCCAACCTAATCACTCTTTCCAAAAATAAAAGAATTGCACCTAAAACCCCCAAAACCAAGAAAATTGCAACTAAATTCTAATAAAATCTGAATTGATTCTGCATGCCCAAAGAACACCTATGCAATTAAGTTGTCTTATGAAATGATGAAATTGTCCTTGATATGAATTCCATTGATCTTCCCTTCTTGACCGAAATTTCTCATTTCATAAGATAATTTAATTCCATAGGGATTTTTGGGCTTACAGAATCAATTCAAATTTTATGGGATCTTAGTTGCGATTTTCATGATTTTGGATTCGTAAGTGCGATTCTCCTTTTCAAAATTAACATATAGAAAGAGAGATAGCTCTCTTACCATGATTTATCTCGTTTTTAATAGATTTGAATATTAGCCCTACTTAGGATGTATTTGGTTTGGGGGAGGGGAGGAGAGAGAGAGAGAAAATGATGATGGTGTCTCAAGATATGGATATACATGTTCAATCTAGATCTTATCCTCAATCTTAGTAGGCCTGAAACAAGCCACTAATTTTGCACCATAAACCGTGATTGATAATGACCCTTTTTTTTTAATTCAGATAAACAAACATTACAAAACCAATAAATAACGTTGGTCAATGTTATCCATATTTCTTCTTCATTCGTGTGTCTGAGTGTGCAATAATAAGACTCCATTTTGCTCTGTCAAACACACATCATGCAATCAGGTATGTGGGATCTATGCATGCTAAGGAACTGTTCTTCGTTCTCTCGTTGACAGATCAAAACTTTCTGAAAACTTATTCGCCCGGAGAATTATGGAGGTAGGAAGAAACACGACTTGGGATTTCAAAAAAGCTGATGATGACGATTCGACATCATCCATTGGATTTGGATCTATCTCAGAAGATTCAATGAACACTCTGAGTTCATCTTCTTCTTCTTTATCAGAATTATCCTCTGAGGAAGAGGCAGCGGACTCTTCAAAAACATCATCTTCTTCTTCATCATCATCAACTCAAACAAATAACGGACCTTTATATGAACTGTCCCAGCTCATGAACCATCTTCCTATAAAGTAAGCAATTTCCTGCCTTGTGTTTCTTTTCTTTTCCATAAATATGTGCGCGCTTGGAATAATGCGGAGAGGAGAAATGAACAATAATAACAGAAGATGCCACTTCTTAAGTTAATCACTCAAATTTATACGTCTTTCTTTTTTTATTATATATTAGTTATTAAACTTAATTGACAAACGGGCGTGGCATGAATCGTCTGTATCCTTAAATATCATTCCAGGGATTGATTTTGTTGGGAGAGTATTTCTCCGTAAATGACATTCAGATATTTCTTGAGAGATTAATGTTATGGTTGCCAGCTGTAAGAATAATTTGGGAAATTTAAAAAAAAAAGTTGTTAAGCTTAATTTCATCCGATATGTAGAACTTTTACTTCAACTAATTTCATTCATACTTAAACAGTCTAAGATTGGATGTTGTGAACTGATGCAGGAGAGGGTTATCAATGTTTTATGAAGGGAAGGCTCAGTCTTTCACTTCTTTAGCAACGGTGGAGAGCATAGAAGACCTTCCTAAGAAAGCCACGTTTTGCAGAAAGAAAATGAAGTCAATAAGCAAAAGCTATGGAGGAGATTTGGATCTGGACAGACACAAAGCTATATCACACATTAATACCAAGGCGACAATATCAAAGGATAAGTCTTCAAGATCAGGATCTTTGGTTTCTCCACTGAGTAGCAGAAGAAGAGGGACTTTTCTGGGAGCTTCGAGGCTCTCCATTGCTGTACACAAGAACTAATTTGAAGATTCAAACCAGTAATCTAGAGCTTACTTCTTTAATTCATGCAAACAAAAAATTGAAAAATTTTGGTGGGTTCTGTTAAAAATGCGAGTATTTTAAATTTTTCTTTAGTTTATTTTAATATATGAGAGAATAATTGACGCATTTTTCTGACAATACTTCTTCATATGAATCTCGCACCTTCATGCTAAAGTATCATTTTCCATGGTGGTCCATGTTCATATGTGGTTTGTTTTGGCTAATAATACAACCCTACCCACAAGGGATAACCCATTAGGATATCATTACCATGAGAGAAAATATAACTTTAAATTCATATTGTATTTTATTATTAGTTTCTATACTTTTTTCAATATTTTTAGTTTTTATATTTTTATTTTTCATTATTTTAGATCCCTTCAAGTCCCTATACTTTGTTTATGAAAGAATCTAAAACAATGAAAAACAAAAATATAAGAACCAAAAATATTAAAAAAAAAATATAGGGATCAATAACAAAACATAAATAAAATACAAGAATCTAAAATTATGTTTTTTCTCATCATAATTATCAATTGGGATAATCGAAGAATCATTACCCAGATCTATCTTTAATAATTATCTGAATCTCATTCGCTCCCTTTTCCTTTATGTATTGTATCCACCAAACCATACCGTGTCTTGTTATTCACATATTACCCTAGTAGGAATGGGATCTCCCGAAGTTGATAACAGTGAAACCATGAGTGAGTGAATGGAATGATTTCTGTTTTTTTTTTTTTTTTATGTGTTGGGCTCATGCCTTTCTATATTTTACTTTCTTTTAATTCAAGCATTAAAACCAAATCAATTATTAAACCAATTAAAATACTAATTTAAAAATTAATAATTAAAACTATAATCAAACCATAATCATACCGATAATAAACAAAACACGTTGGTTTAATGATTTATCAATTTAACCAAACAAGTTGCCTCAAATTTTCATACTATACTGTTAACCTTTCAAAAAGAAAGAAAAATCGAGAAAAAAAAAAAGAAAAGAAAACTTGGGAAGGAAACATAAAAATAGTATAAGAAATTATTTTTGAAATTCTTTTCTCCTAATTTTTTTCTCTTCCCTACTTTCTTCTCACTTTTCCCCATCTAAACCAGGTTCTAAGTGAAGCACAATTGATCGGTGAAAAATCGAATTCACTAAGAGCTTTAGGTTAAAAAGGATTAAATTCCCAATTTCAAGGATTTGGTAAAAAAAATCATATTGAAAAAAATATTTATACATGAGCTCAACTATAATCGAATCAAACTTTACAGTATCAAATACCATTACCATTCACCGCAAATCTAACAACCCAAATATCCAAATATGTCGCGTAAGTGAAATGGTTGACGAGTGCAATGAAAAACTCAATGAATGATTACTAGGCAAGAGAATGAAAAAAAATAATAACTGATACATGTTGAAACTAAAATAAAAACACGCACTCCATCATGTTACATTAGGATTACTTTTCAGATTAATCATCCTTATATTTGAGGCACAATGCAAGTTGAGGAAAAGAAAAGGAAGTGCAATTTAACTTCTGCCATAACTTCGGACATGGCATATGGTTACAAGCTCACATCACAAGATGAAGAAAATTGGGGATTAGCGGCATATCATGTCAAATAAAAGTTCAAATATTACACAGCACTCATCATTTACCACGTTTTCTTCCGGCCACGTGGACACAACAGGAAACTAAAGCCCCGGAGGACAGATGAGTTTTAAATTAACAAGTCTAGAGAGGTGTACAAAAAATGACAGCTGCAAAAATTGTGTATTTTACACTTGATGAATCATATCTTGTAGACAGGTACAATCCCAAGGAGATAAAAACACTTTCTCATCACAGTGGCTGTTGCTTCGCAAAGCAAGAGTCTACTTGTTTCCTCAGGCGACCCAACAACCTGTGATCTCATTTGCTTGAGTCAGTATTCTTTAACCACATGCATATCAATTCAGACTCTAGGTTGTTTAAGGTTTTGCTGTAAGTAACAATTTAAAAAAAACATTAACACAATAAGGTTGATGGGGACCTAATAGTATGAAATAGCAAGTCCCATATGAAGTAGTATGGAATGCTCAATGTGATATTTAAGTGGTGCGTTCTTTTGCTTCAAGTGCTAGTTTTTAGAATAAGGTTCCTCATCCCACTTAGATATCCATCATTACTAGGTCTACATCAATTGGCCCCCCCATGAAAGTCGACATCACGGTGGCTACACTTAATGGAACTTGACTTGAGTTCCTGCTGGTCAAAACCTGCCATGGGTACTTAGGTGGGATGAAAAACCCTACCCCAAAACCTAGCTACTGAGGTAGGACAATCAACCCACTTAAACACCCCTTTAAGCATTCCATACTACTTAATGTGAGACTGTATTCCATACTGCCAAGTCTCTATCAAGTTAAGAACAAGTTTCAGCTGATTAATGACCAACTGGTACTTCTAAAGATTACAACTCATCATTTAGCAGGCACATAAGAAATATTGCAAGCTAGATGTAGGTTCCTTCCATTGCATGAAGTTTGAGGAATGAATTGTGTTGTTCATGGCTCATGAATAGTATAGCATGCCAAAATTGTGAGCTCCACTCTAGGCACGCCACAGATTGACAAGAAAAACATGAACATAAAGCATAAATTTGAGTGTCAGGATTATACCTGACAATTGGAATAAAACTTTTTTGTGAAGATCTCTGATAAATTATATAGGTATTCACACAACACGTTGGGCAATAAATTGGTGCATGCCTCCTCAACAACCTGAAAAATAAAGCAGCAGAAAGTCAAACAAAAGGAATTTAGGGCATGTTTGTTTTCTATTTTTAAAAATTATTTTTTTTTTCAAAGCAAAAAAAATTAAAAACTTGTTTGGACGAGTGTTTTCAATTTAATTGTTTTTAAAATAGTTTTTATTTTTTGTTTTTAAAAACAAAAAAAAAATAGAAACAACTTCAAGTTGTTTTCATTTTATTTTTCCTATTTTCAAAATATACTACACTTGATTATTGAAAATTACAGTTATCTTAACTAATTTCTATCATAAATCACCACCATTCATTCTACTTTTTAATTCTAAACCTATTTTTACATTAACATAACCAAACAAATTTTTGCTTTGTTTTGTTTTAAAAGACAATTCTGAAAGCCGTATTACAAAACATATTTTAAAAACAAAAAATAGGAACAGAAACCAAACAAGCTCTAAACATCGTTGTGGATTAACCAATAAGCCGGAACACAATACAGGATTAGAGTTGTGATCTCATCCCAGTCTTGTGCTTGAAGAAGTGAAGCAGCACGACTTATCAAATTCTAAATATTTAAGTACGGATTATAGGTCAAAGCATAAGAATCAAAGCACATATATCCTTTTGACATGATCTACCTCACAGAATTGTAGCAAATGGAGCCCCAGTGCACGCTCATCTTGATGATCCAATGCTATTCTCCCAGTCTGTCACATCAAGTAAATAAGCATGAGATACACAGCACTACATACAAGCTGGGAAATTAGCAGACTGACAATATATAAACACGAGTGGAATATCTATTATGACAACACTAGTCTTGGGCGATCCACACATGCAATTAAATCATGTTCAATTTTAAATGGATGCATAAAACAGCAAAGGAGTCAGAAGATCATTTCAAAACTCCAGCTGTCCAATACTCAAATCTTATGAGTAAAAATAACAACAACAACAAAAGCCTTATTCTACTACAACTAAATACATCACACGGCCCCATTGCGTTTTGTCCAAGACCAATTCTACCAATAAGCATTAGCTGGGAGATCTCAATTAATGACTTCTTTAAGTGTTCTTCTTAGTCTCCCTCTACCTCTCTTCATAGGCTACAGATTATACGCTCACCGCTCTTTAAAGGCACATCCACTGGCCTTCTTAGCACATGAAAAAACCATCTTAAATGATTTTCTATATTTTCTCCTCGATAGATGCCAACCAACTTGTCCTCTTAAATAATCATTACATATCTTGTTCTTCCTTGTGTGGCCACACATCCATCTGAACATCCCCATCTCTACAGTTCCCATTTTATGCTCATGTTGTTCCTTTAATGCCCAACACAGAATTTTCTATAAAGCTCTATATGGACCTTACAATCACAAAGAACTCATGACGCCTTCCTCCATTTCATCTACCCAACTTGTATCCTATGTGTAACATCATCATCAATTTCCCCCTTATTTTGTAGAATTGATCCCAGGTACTTCAACTTTGTGACTCAGGGTATCGTCTCCTAAACTCTTAAGATCCACGTTGCTTAATTTAACATCTTTTAGTAGATTAATATCACAGCTCACAATTACATTAGATGAGTACTAGTCATATCAACCATGGAAAAAAGCAATTTATTCAAACATAGCCAGAACTGCAGGAGGAAAAAAGGAACTTACTCTTTTTAACTCTTCTATGTCTTTACCAGATTTCCTGATAATGGAACAGATCCGGGCATGAGCATACAATAAATAGACAGCAGTATTGCCCTGTTTCACATGAGGTTAGTAAGACGACATTAACATCAAAACCAACAGTTGTTGTGGAAGATAAGGAGAGTTTGGCAACCACTTAGAGAAGTTTAATACACACATATTTACAGGTAGCTTTTAACCATTTTCAAAGAAATTGTGAAATCAAATAGAGTAAACGATTATGGCTTGTAAAAATGGGGGTAGGGGGTAATAGTCCTGAAATCAACAAGATTCTTCCCCTTAGCTTCATTAGAGTACTTAAAATTTATATGTTGATACTGCACCTTATCGCTAAGCATCTGATCAAAGTTGAATGTGTAATTTGTTAGTCTGTTGTTCTTCAGGTCAGCATACCTGTCAAGACAAATTAAGGAGAAAGAAATAAGAGGCTTCCCCTCATTTAATATTCTTATTCATAACATCAGCTTAATTCACAAAGATTGTACATTGAAGAATATTATTAAAATAGCCATACGTTACTTAAATCAATCATCATGGCAATGGCACAGAAATAGACAATTGATTGCACGCTTGAAAGGATAAAAGTTGCTATATGCATTGATGTATTTACTTAGGCCCCGTTTAGTTGCAAGAAACGAAGGGAATGGAATGGATTAAAGAAATAAAGACCAAATGATTAGAATGTGGACGGGAGATGAGTCAACCATGCTCATGAGGGAGGAAGAGTAATTTAATTCATAAGATTGGGAATCATGATTCATGAGGTTTTTGGAGATTGTGGTGATTGTCATATTTGTGATATGGTATTAGGTTTTACCATACTTACATGAAGGGGAGGGTAATTTAGTTCATTTTTGTTCTTATTTCTTTAATCCATTCCATTCCAATCTTTTCCAACAACCAAACAGCTCCTTAGATTGTAAGGGGGAATTTGTACATGCCAACACAATTCACAGCTGTAGCTCTTATTTAAATTTAAAGGCACCCTAAATATAACATGTGAATATTCAGTCCAAGGCTTCTCTACCACATATATACACATGTATATATCCAAAGTAACATCAGATAATAATATGGTCATACAACTCAATATCTTAGGACAAAATGTCAATTTTCCCCTCAAATAGAGGGAAATTTTTTAAAAATGGACTGGTTATACATTTTGTTTTAATGTAACAACGGATGCCTAAGCCAGGACTGTTTATACTTTAACTGATGTTATCTGCCACCAGTATTTTAGTTTAACTAAGCAAGAAAACTTTCAGATGCTTTTAAAAGAAAGAGTGACTTACTTAACAGCGCCATAACCAACAGCCTCTGCTGTCTTCTCAACCTCCTCATCAGACCAATCTTTAGCCGTTTCTAAAGAACATCAACAATTTGAAGTTATCTTCCAGGTTTAATATCTATGTAAATGGTATCAAAATAGGCATATCCACTCATCAATTTTAGTCTACAAGAACTTTTTCTTTCCCGTAGATGCTTGCATGCATATAAGGTGAAACAGAAGGTTCATACATTACAAGAGTAAAGTAGGCATCCAGTAACTTACCTCGCTCAATTAGGGCACTTTTGCTGCGATTCTTGGCTTCATCAAGCAAATCAACCAGTCGAACAACTTCAGTGTTGCGAGTGCGAAAACGTTTTCCATCTTCCCCAAGAACAAGACCAAAGCCCACATGAGTAGCTTTGGGATATGAAGCATCATCTGCTGGCAACCAGCCAGCTCGCTTAACAGCCTGAAATAGAAATTGGAAGCCTTTATTTTATCATAACCTATGAATCACAAATACTTCAAAAATGGATACTTGGTCAAGTCTGACCCATATCAAACATGTGACACTCAAATTGAACCAGAGAACTTCACACTTCTCTCAGAGAGCCGAATCGGGCTTCTTAGATCATATACATCCTTTTGAAGAAAAAACTAAATCGTAAGCTGTCATTGATTAATTAATAAAGCAAAGTAGGAAGACAATATGAAATGATTTTTTTTGTCAAAAAATTCAACCAATAAGGATGACCATATTGGTAAAAATAAATTATACTACAAAACGCAGGAGCCATAAAATAATTTGGACATTAGCATCTGAAAGATACCTTAAAGACCATATCGAAGTGCTGCTGTTGCCCTACATCTGTAACGTATATAATCCACTCAGCTTTTTCTTCATTTAGTCTATACCTATATGAATAAGTAGCACACAGCATCATCCACTTTTTGCTGATATTTTTGCTTCTATAATCAGATAAAAATTGATAAGGATAAACATAAATAAAAATCAGCACTGAAGATGCAAAAACAAAGGAGGGATATTTACCATGCCGGCATAACAATTCAGTTAACTGGTACATGGAATTAGTCTGTCAAATTTATGTTCATGATATTGAATGATCGTGAACATTGTTATTCCGGCCTAAAGAAACATTTTTTTAATATATTCAAAACGATAAGCTAATTTATTAAATGTACTCGCTAGCTGCACTGCACATCTTATGTAATCAAGACATTTAAAATTGCTAGTAGAGTAGTAGCACAAAATGATTGATTTCCAACTGATGTAGTCTTGTTCAAATTGAAATGTTAATGTTATTGTAATCATAAATTATTGTCTGATTACCACTCACAATTAAATTAATAAAAAATAAATCTGTTTTTGCTTCTTTTAATCATAAATTTGTTTAAATGAACCAGTACAAAAAAAGAAAAAAAAAAAGAAAGAAATCTTACCAAATGGCAGCTAGGTCGGTTGAAGCATAGTTGTAACCACCATCACTCTTCACGACAATAAGTGGTATGTTTACCCCTTCAAGAAATATCACACGAGCTCCTTCGCTTTCTTCAATCAGTCCTTGTCTACTCAGTTCCTCTAAAACCCCAGGAATATACGGATTATAAAAGCTCTCTCCCTGTGAGAGAAGGTAACACAATTCGATGATAGTAAAAAAATGTTAAAACTACTTTTTCAAGCAAAGACTACATCTGCAAATACTGCAACTGTTGTACAATATATTCAACCCAAATCCACACTAGCACATGAATCATGATTGAGATGGTTCACAATGTCAAGTCAAAAGTAATTATTTCAAAAGTTTCACGGCTCATGGTAAATCCTGCGAATTTATAAAGCATCTGAGGAGTCCTCTTCCATACAAAAGCAGAATTTCAAAATTTCAATGTTATTTAATAATACTAGGAAAACCATATGCCTGGTAAAAGGATCAGAAAATTTCAAAACGTAAATTTCAATCTAATTTGTGCAAATGATCAAACCCTCAATCATAATTAAATACAGAAAAAAAAATGCTAGATCAGAACTTAATTAATAGACTAATAAGCATCTGAACTGCTAGATTTTGCAGCAAACTGAAGGAAAAATAATCAAGCATAAAAATCCCATCAGTAAAGCCTTCTAAAAGGTACCAATAAAAAGATATCACGAACCCCCCCCCCAAAAGTGAACAAAAAGGAAACTACTACAAATACCTTTTCCTCCAAATGAACTCCAAGACGTTGATAGACCCTGTGGAATTCAGTCCGGCTAATTTCACAAATTTGTGCCCATGCCTTATGATATTTGGTTTCCCCACCCTGAAATCAAAATAAATCCAAACAATTTAAAATAAAGTCTTCCAAGATCTCATATGAGATAAAAGAGAGTTATGAAATTAAAAATTGACATGATTTACCTGAAGACGGACCACTGCCTGTTGCGCCCTCTGCTTAAATTCGGGATCACTGTCAAATCTCTGTTTTGAAGCCTTGTAGAATGTCTAACAAAGTAGAGGTTTTTATTAGAAAATAACCAACCATAATTTACTTTCTAAAATGTCAAGAAAAATTTTCATGATAAAAGAACCAAATAGATATGCATAACAAAAATGAAGAGAAAAACATACAATGTAGCTATTAATAAGAACATCATCCCTCAAGGCCTATGCATATTGCCATCCCTAGGATGAATGTCAGTTGCAAGCATTGAAAAGGAGCAGTGTTACCAATAAAATATCAATTCAAGCAACGATGTCTAATTCAATCTTTAAAGAACCTATAAAAATGAAACCAGCATTGATTTCAAATAGCACAGTACGAATTCAAAATGTGCATAGAAGAAAATGGGAGAATTACATTGAAGTCCCACGCAAGAAAATTAATTACTGTAAAATCTATTAACAACCGAAACAAGGCCATTTACAACAGATTTGTGTTGTAAATGACCTTACTTCAGTTGTTAATGGATCTTGCAGTAGTTAATTTCCTTTTGTGGGATCTGGATGTAATTCTCCCAAAGAAAAAAGGCAGAAACAACAGTTCACAATGCTGCACATTGAGAAGAATATAACAACTGTTGGTTGAAACTATTCTTTGCTTAGTCATGAACAGGCATTTATACTTTCTTGCATGGATTAAATACTATTTATAGAAAATCCTACTCAACTCTGACCACCAAAACATGAAACTAAATTAATAGAAGCTCACACAGTGAATCCCATTTAAAATAATAGATTAAATGGTTATATAAGATTAAATGGAATTGTATTCATTTTAATATATCTTGTTACCTGAAGATCTCCAATGGCTGCTTCATTGACATTTTCTGGGTTTGGAAATTTTTCAAAAAGGAATTCAATTAGCATACCAAACTGCAAAACAAATAGGCAAACTTTGATGTTTGAGCAAGATAATATCAATACGAAAAAGGAGAAATTACCCAAGGTCCAACAAAATCATTTTTTAGGTAAGGATATCTCTTCAACATAGCAATGACCATTGCTAATTTTACTCATTAAAATGCTTAATATCAAAGATACTATTAAAATGCTTAATATCATAGATACTCAAACATGCTCTAATTTAATATCATATAATGAAGAAAACACTGGAGAAATTATCTTAAGTCTCATCTTATTTGAATAACTATCAACAGATTTACATAAAGGCCATGGCTGCAAAACAAAAGAATCATTTAATTCTTTCACTTCATAACTCAAGCTTTCTACCAAACACTCAAATCTTTGCTCTCAAACTTGTCAACACAAACTCTGCTTTCAATAAGTTCGTTGTCTTAAAGAAGAGACTGCCCAAAGTATTATTTAGTTCTAAAAACACCATTTCAATGTTAATGAATCACAAAGTCACCAAGCTAAGCAATGGCCAAAATCGAGCTACCAAAGTCCAGGAGCTATTTACAAAGAAGACATGAAATCCAGAACAATGTAGATCCATATGGAATATTTGCCACTTTTATAAGCATATCTTCAGAATCAAATCTACCTGTGTTCCCCAATCCCCAACATGATTCCGGCGGAGAACTTCCACATGTGAAAATTCAAGCATACGAGCTAATGTATCCCCAATAATGGTAGATCTCAAGTGACCAACATGCATTTCTTTTGCAATGTTGGGAGAGGAAAAATCAACCACTGCCCTCTTGACTGGAAGTCGTGGTGCCCATGTCTCTATACCATGAATTAGCATCCTTTGTAAGTTCTGTAACAGGAACTTCTAGTGTAAGTGCAAACAGATCACTTTATGACCAACTAAATCAAACAAAGCAAAAACTTTAAGCAGCCTTTCACAATAAATGAATAAAGTTAAAGTAAAAAAAAAAAAAAGGGACCCAAATATTAGGTAGATACAAATCGCAATTTTAATCTCAATGAAATATAATTACATGCGCCATCCAATTCTTTGATAAGACAACATTGACAAATCCAGGCCCAGCCACAGAGCATGAATCTATAATCTCAGAAGGAGGAAGATTCCCCATGATTGCCTACACAAACAAAACAAAAAGGTGATCATCTAGCAGTAACAAATAAAAATTTAATTCTAAAGTAAGATCCATAATGTTGAGGAAAACAAGTAAAGAACGTCACTGGCTATACCTGCCCAACAGATGGAGGACCCTTAAATTCTGTTTTCTTTCCTTTTATTTTAGACCATATGCCCATTGCATTGTTACTGCACAAAGGAAAATAACCTAATTTAACTTTTAAAAGTAGGATGAAGATGACATACATTTAGATTCTCAAATTCAAATAAACGTTGATCAGGAAAAAAAAGCTTAGCCCACCATTGGTAGTCACCAAATTTTCCCGTGCAAGCAGCAATTAAAGGCTCCACATCAGGCTCATCAGGTACTGTTGCCGTCAGAGATATCTCAAATAGTTTTGCCAATTGTCTCTTGACATTACCAACATTATCTTCATCCTGGATCCATCCAAGCAATAAAAAATAGTTTCACTCCTATCAGAAAGAACAGCAAGACACTACCGCATTTTGTGTAGTAGTAGAAAATGCAATGTCCTCGCAGAAAGAGTCACAGCCTACAGCATTGAAAAGGAAGAGAATTTATAAATTTACTAGATGAATTAACGTACAACTGCCATGGTGGAAAGGGATTGTGTCTTTGTCTTTGCGGAAAAAGTAAGTCTTCTAGATGCAACCTTCAGTAAATCTGTCTAGTTTCACAATGACAACGTTAAATTGGCATAAGCACTACAAACAACTACCAAAATTGTTAAACTACACAAAGAAATAACAAATCAATAATAGTTCAGCCAAGGTAGCTCAAGTTTTGGGAGGAAATCCAAACCATGTGTGCTCACACTGCATGATTAAAAAACAATGAATACTACGCAAAAGAAATTATTTCGTGTTTTGTTCATTAACTTCAAGAACAAAAAAGAAAAACACATCCCAAAACCCAATATAGAAAATGTGGGTGTAATACTGTACTCGGTGGATATAATACAGAAAGAAAATAACACAATGCCACGACTCAAAAACTTCTTTGGTGTCAAGGCAGCATAGAAACACGAATTACCCAGTAGGGAACAAAGGTGGGATAATCTACCAAAACAAACAAAACTTAAAAAAAAAACAAAAAACAAAAAAAGAGCATGCTTAAAAACCTAAGGTCCTCATAAATGGTGAAACCGCTTCCTCCAATAACTCAATTATCTTTAGCATAAAATAACAAGAAAAGACATTGAGAGGCAACATGGATAATAGATTGTGCTCAAAATCAGAAAGAGTGGAAGAGTGAGAGAGAGAGAGAGAGCTGACTGGCAGGAGAAAAAGGAGAAGGTGAGGAAAAGTGAGAGAGACAATTGAGAATGGGAGTGCACATAAGCAGGGCTGGGTCCAACCCAATGCCTAGCCCGAAGGATACATGGGCTGCAAAATGCATCCCACTGCCCAGCTCTACCCACAAAAAGCCCTATTAACTCGTACTGGGTTGGGCGGGCTGGGCAACTTCGAGCCACCTTGCCCATCATTCTAAGAAACAAGTATAAAATTATCATAAATCAACAATAACAACCATGGCCATCATTCTAAGAAGCAAGTACAAAACTACCATTAATCAACAATAACAACCCTGCCCATCAGCTCAAAATAACATCCATAAAAGCATAAACCATAAATTTTTAAGTTAAAAGAATCCATTGCCCTAGTTATGGAAAACCAAAGAACTAGTCAGCGAAAGATACAAAAAATAAAATAAAAAATAATAATAATAAAGGACTTATGTCCAGTTTAGCCTAAGAACCATACAAAACATGCTTGAATATTTCCGAGTAATCAACTTGGTCTGTGTCTCTTTTGATAAACCGTATCTACCTAAAACAATTTCAGCTCGTACAATTCAAGCATGGTGTGAACCTATTGACTTGTCTGCCTAGGCACACAAAAAAACACACGAGTTCCCCTATATTGCCTACTCACTACTCAGGGCAATATTGGAGCCTCATGAATAGTTTTAAATGCCACAGGAGACAAGTTCATAGGCATCTATTGAAGTCCAGCCCATATTTTAACAAATAAAATGAGGTCAAATGCAGAATTACCAGAAAAAATAGCAACTAAATAAAGCATAAATAACCCAGATAAATTGCAAAAAAATCCACATAAATAACCCAGCTTGTGCTTCAAGCATTATAGGCATCACGTATCAGACTTGGGAGAAATGATCAACTGATTTACAAACCTGGGCACCCGCAAAAGGAGAAATGAACGAGACAGAGATCACGACAAGTCGGCAACATGGACAAGCAAGAGACAGACACGAGCAAGAGCGAACAGTCAAACAAGAGACGGCAATGGGCAAGAGCACGACAACACTGAGACGAGCAACACAGATCTAAGCAAGAGACGAGCACCGCAGAGCCAAGTAAAAGCACAAGACAGCGATGACGAAGAGTTAAGTCGGAGTGAACATGAGACAGCCAAACAGGAATGGAAGCTGCGCCGATTGTCAAGAGCAAAATGGGAGAGTGGAGAAGTAGAGTGTGGAGGCTGCAGACTAGAGTGGAGTGGAGACAGCAAGATGCTCAGATGCGAGTGTGGAGATGCTCAGATGCATTGCAAGTTGCGACTGGAGTGGAGAATGGAGATACAGCTAGGGTTAGGACTATTGAAAAAGTTAACAAAATGACTAAAATCTCCTCCTTGCTTTCCCTCAGTCAACCACTTAAAAAAATTAAAATATATATATAATATATATTTCGGGCTAGGCCAAACAGGCAGGGCAGCTTACCTTGCGAGTGCACGAGCTACAAAATGCAGCCTGCTGCCCAACCTTGCCCACAAAAAACCCTATTAGTTCAGGCTAGGCAAGGCAGGGTGGACAACTTCAGGCCGCCCTGCCCAACAGATAACAACCCTGCCCATCAATAGATATAGAACACTCATGCAAAAGATAAAACAGATCAGAAGGTTATATCAATGGATTTTTGTTTGTATAATTTAAGAATAGTGTTATTGTAATTTAAACAACTAATCACATAACAGTTTAAACAATCAACTAAGCAATTTAAACAACTAATCACATAACAGTTTAAACATGTTTTGGAATGTGCCATATGAATACATGTTTTGAGAACTACGTGACACACCTTTTATAGCTAATAATTCTCTTTTTTGTGGCCTTAGCTTCTATCAATTATCCGTATTATACATTTTAATGAAAAAGACAAACATCAAATTGATATCCATTTCATGACGATATTGAACTAGACCCAGGTGATGAGAATATGCTGTGGACAAGTTCAAAACAAGAGGTTGTGATTGTGCGGGTAGGATTTTTCTCATATTTACGCTTTATATATAATTCAAAATCAGTTTTTGTGGTTGTATGTTCAGACTTCAGTATCTCAATAGAATCAGGAAGGCTGCTGGTGAAATTATTGCCAGAACCTAGTTGTCATGCAAAAGGACTAGAATCCATATACTTCAAGCTAAAGCTACATAAAACCATCATTATGCAAGCATTAGAGAGAAATGACACCTTATTACAAATTTAATAAACAGAATCTGAAACATGAAATGTAAACCCCACCCCCCCCATCACCAAACTATCACAAAAAGTGAGAACACTCCAAATCAATTAAACTGTAAACAAAAGCGGGGATTTATGACTAAAACCCACAAGATTGTTAGGCAACTGTTTACATTACCATCACCTTCCCCAATTCCCCGACACTACATAAATGTTTACATTTATATTTATGTGACTTTCCTAAAAAATGACACAATAGCAAGATCCATCCCGCAACAAGCGGTAACAACACAAAAAGAAATCTCCCTACAAGTTAATAAGCCTTGAACCTCACTTAAGACACCAAAAAAACCAAAGAAATACTAAATTGGCATATGTGGGAATGAAAATAGGTTCGGTTCAATCCAAAAACAGCACATCAATTATAAATCTATGAGAGCATTTCAAGCCAAAAGAACATAAAACCATAGTGAATCAGAACACAAAATCAGATCAAAAAGAAAAATTTGATAAGGATTATGAGAACATATAACCAGAAGCTCAAGTGAATCAGAGTTTGCATTCTCAGCAGAGCAGGAGTCGGGGAGAGAGAGGACGAGAACGAGGTGACTTACTTGATGTCGGCAAGACGGCGACAGAGTGACAACGAGCAGATGAGATGAGATGAGATGCAAGGAAGAACGGCGGAGGTGAAGACGAAGCTTGCAGAAAGTCAAACGCTCGACTCAGGCTTCAGGCGAAATCTCGTTTTATGGTGAAATCTCCCGCAGTCTTGTTCCCCTCAGGCTTCAGGCGACCAGAACAGAGGAGGGGAGATGGCCGAAGGGGGCAGCGGCGACTTGCTGACTGGCTGTGGCGGGCGATGCGAACCCCGAACGAACGAGAAGCAGAGTGGACTGGAGTAGAGGTATGTCAGTCAGCTCACTCAGCCGCTCAGTTAGGGCACAGGCGCACAGCCGGGGGTTAACATTTAATAGCCACGGATAGCCCGTATAACGGGCCAGGCTAACCCGTATGAGTTAAACCGCGTTTAACCAGCCCGTTATTACCAGAAAATTAAAAAAAATTATGCAACTAAAAAAAATGAATAAGAAGAATTATATTGAATCAGGACGTTGGAAAAAAAAAATTGAGAGTATATTACAAATATAATATTCAGCAAAATATAAAATGCAAATATAATATGCAGTAAATTTTTATTATCCGTTCAATATCGTTTCTCATCCATCAAAACTTAAACAAAGAGCCCTCCAAATCCAAATCCAAATCCCAAGTTACAAATCCCGTCACCGTCAACGAGCACCAAATCTCAAGTAAAGCCAAGATATTTGCAAGATTACAGGAGAAGCGAAGTGCTTTAGAAAAGGAATGATTTGCAAAGCAACAGATGCAGATCAGCAAGGGAATAAACATACGATGGTTGGGTCTGTAATTTTTTTGTCAAGATTGTGATAGGGGACGCAAAAGCAGAATCATATTAGATTAGGGACAGAATCCTGAAACACAACAAAAACACAAGAACAAAAAGAAAGGAATGAATTTATAATGAAAATAAAGAAAGAAAGGAAATAAACAATGGAATAATGATCAAGGATAAGATCCTCTAGAGCACCTGTCTTTAGAAATCTCAACCTTCGAAGACACCACAAAAGTTAATCATGCTCTTGATCACATCTGTTTCTTACACAGGATGCCACTACAAAGCATTAAGGCTCACAAGAGTTATAAACTCTAAAATGAATAATTTCATTCAACTTCTCTTCCGTTTATAAGAGGGAGCATGCCTAATTTATATAGACTCATAGAGAAGACTATTTCCTAAAATTAAAACCCTAATTTCCTAACACTAAAAAAAAATAATATAAAATAATGAGAAAATATTTAGCCACATAATTTACAAGATGTGATCCTAAAATTATAGGATTACAAAACTTAGAAATTAATAATATAATTAATCATAATCTTTGACTAGACTCAAAATAGAAAACTAAGACTAATCTTGCTCCTTAAGAAAGGGAGTCAAATCAAAAAACCATTAAAATAGGAAACAATTTAGGAGACAATCAATGGATCATAAAGGATTTAAAATCACACCACACTTAACTTCTTCACTAAGGTTTCATGCCTCCTTGCTTACAAGAAGCTCAACTTATAGTCTTCCTTACATTGAGTTAAGGTTTGCATCTCTTAAGCTTAACTCTTCATGGATTTGAATATTAAGCACATTATACACATATAGATGATCTCCGTTGCGCTTGAGAGGAGTGCCCCAATGCTCTCCAAGCTTTTGGACTTCTTGCTCAAAATTAAACAAAGCTTGCTTCATGGCTTTAGTTCAGGCTCTTGTCATTAGACCTCCAATATATTGTAAAGGATCTTTAGGCACGTTGGATTGGAAGTATTGGGCTCCTTGCTCCTTGTCTTGGGCTCCTTTCATGCCACCATGCTCATGATTATCATCCTCAAGCTTTATTGTCATTAACACCATATCATCTATGTCATAGGGTCCATCAGATTGGTTAAAGAGTAGATTCAATTAGGTACACTAAAGAAAGGCAACAGACGAACCTGACGGCGAGAGGAAGTAAACCAAAGGCTATGAGCTACTGAACCAAAGGCAGTGATGATGAAGAGCAAGTAAACCAGAGGCGGCAGCGGCAGGCAGCCACTCCTTGGTGTAGGCGTGCAGTGACTCAATTTGAGTTTGACAAGCTGATGGAGGGGTGGAGTAGCTGTGGTGTGGGCGTGTGGCTTGTGGGGAGGCGCCGAGGGACAAGGGACGTGACTGGGGGAGAGCGAGACGCAATCGATGAGTAAGGAAATTAGGAAAGGCTGTTGAAGATTGAAGCAAAACGCAGCGTATGATAACTCACTTCTTCACAAGTTTTTTTTTTTAAATGTATATAGGGACCTATATATAGGTCGAGACGAGCAGCCTAAAAGATAACCCGTAGCCTATCCCCCTATTAACAATCAACATAAGCTAGCCTGTAAATTTAGCCCATCCATTTTTTCCTTAATGGACAGGTTAAAACTCGCTCATTTTACATGGGTATGAGTGACTTAGGCAAATTACGAGTTATCTGCTCACCCTTAGTTGTGGGCAATGCATGGAAAATTCAAATTGTTTGGGAAAATATTATTCAATGAGACGCATAGAATATTTAATATCAATCAAATACAAAGATTATGAAACAAATATTTAATATCAATCAAATATAAAAATTATGAAATACTACCTCTTATCCAAAATATAAGCATTTCTTTTTAATTAACTTTGGTTCAAAATATAAATAATTTAATACATTGGTATTACTCCCGATGTGAAAATAATTTTAAATGAAAAAATTATAATACCTTTGACTTTTTTTAATTGACAAGTGGCAATTCATGTTAAGAAGCACTCATTTGCATTTAATAAGAAGTCATTTGCTAATTAACAAATTCAAGAATATGAAAAAATTTGATTGTAAAAAAAGATAATTATAGATCATATTTCAACAAGTAATTATTTATTAATTAACAAATATTTATTCACATTTAATGAGAAGTTATTCACTAATTGACAAATTCAATGATCTGAAAGAACTTGATTATAGAAAGAGATAAGTGTAGATCATGTTTTAATATATAGTCACTCATTAATTAACAAATACCTATTCACATTTAATAAGAAATCATTTACTAATTAACAAGTTCAAGAATTTAAAAGAACTTAGTTGTAGGAATGGACAAATATAGATTATGTTTTAAAAAGTAGCCATTTATTAACTAATAAATACTCATGCGCATTTAACAAAAAATTATTTACTAATTGATAAGTTTTAAAAAAGAAAAAGAAGAGCATGGGTATTATAGTCTTTTTCATTTAAAATTACAAATTTGTCCCTGATCTTGTAGTGAGATTTCAAAATTTTTTAATCTTTATTTAATATTAAATTACTTCTATGGTCTTTAAAATGATATTTATTCTCATTGTTTTCGTGTAAAAGATATCTACTTGTAAAATAAGGTTGTATGAACCGCAAAGATTTATTTGACTTTTATTCCAGTCATGAAATCCATAAGTTTTTTTATATTAATGAATCCAAATTCTTTAAAGTTGAAATTGATAAATTGTGTTAAAATTATTTTAATAACTCTATTGATTTTATTATATTTTTATAAAATATAAATTTTTTTCTGTTAAAATAAACTTCAAATAAATTCATCACTAAATCTTATATTATAATTGTGACACAAATCAATAAATCATCCTTAGGCTAAAAAAAAAAAATTCCTACTCTAGAGACACACAACGCGAGTCATACCCATAATTGTGAATTTCAAGAAATGACTTATTGTCCAAGTATTTCTATGCAATAACACCAAAGTACTGAGAGTGTCCCACCCCATGGGATATACGGGTGAGACATCATCGAATCAAATTAATTTCTATACACCATCAAAGTTAACTTTAGGAAAAAATATGAAACTATGCATTTGTTAAAGTACATTTAGGAAAATATATGCTTGTAATAAATGTAGCATATTGTATGTGAACCTTCTAATTTTTCAAATATCATGAGACTAAATGTTAAACATTTGAGCATAAATTAAAATATCAAATTCCAAGAAACATAAAAGAATAATATCTACATTAAACGTGACATATAACTGAACAATAACAATCTTATCCAAATTTTTAGTATCCAATATTATGATTCATTATTTTGCTTCAAGTGCTTAGCACTTCCATTTCTACTTTTTCCAATCGCATCAAACACAAGGCTAATAGGACAAACAACACTATCTGTATAATAATTTTTTATACACAAAAAACAAATATGCATAAATCATTTCTTTCTACATCCTTGTTTGCTTTTCCTTTTAAGAGGAGAATCATTTTCCATAAATCACACAAAATCCCCATTCAAGAAAAGCAACAATAATGTGGATAAGTTCCATAGGTTTTGTTTAGCTTCCTCCTTTTAGCTTTTAGACTCTACTTATACGTAGAATTTGAACATAAACTATCTATTTCATCACTTTTATAACTCAAGCATGATAATAAAGAGTTACCTTCGCATGAAAAATCAAAACTTTGTGCTTCTAGTCTAGCACAACAAATTCCCTTCAAGTTCTATAACAGGAACTTCTAGTGTAAGTGCAAACAAACCACTTTATGACCAAATAAATCAAACAAAGCAAAAACTTTAAGCAACCTCTCACAATAAATGAAAAAAGTTAAAGTAAAAAAAATGGACCCAAACACTAGGTAGATACAAATCGCAATTTTAATCTCAAAGAAAAATATAATTACATGTGCCATCAAATTCTTTGATAAGACAACATTAACAAATCTAGGCCAACCATAGGGCATGGTTCTATAATCTCAAAAGGAGGTAGATTCCTCATGATAGCCTACACAGACAAAATAGAAAAGTGATCTCTACCAGTAATAAATAAAAATTTAATTCTAAAGTAAGATGCATAATGGTGAGGGAAACAAGTAAAGAATATCATTAGCTATACCTGCCCAACAGATGGAGAACCTTTAAATTGTATTTAAACCATATGCTTATTGCATTGTTACAGCACAAACGAAAATAACCTAATTTAGCTTTTAAAAGCAGGATGAAGATGACATAAAATAATATAGATTCTCAAATTCAAATAAACGCTGAACAGGAGAAAAGACTAGCCCACCATTGGTGATCACTAAATTTTCTAATCAATGCATTTGACAACCCTTGATATTAGTCAACTCTTAACTCCTTTCGATGAGTTCTTATTTAAACCAATCATTGTGATTCTATCTTTGTGTACCCATCAACTATAAATTGTTGCAACAACCTACATGCATGCAATAATGAAGAAACTTCATTTGCTCTAGTCATAAGTTTGTAACTAAAGTATTCTCACATACTAAGTCTTTTCTTCTTCTTTGTTACACTAAGAGTTTCTT